GGGATCTTCCCAGACCAGGGATCGAACCCGTGTCCCCTGCATTGGCAGGCGGATTCTTAACCACCGTGCCACCAGGTAAGTCCAACCACTGCCTGCTTTTGATTGTGGCTAAATCCTAGGTGCTGAATTCTGCTAGACATAATCACACACGTTTATAAGCTTGTATCACCTATAAATTATGATGTCTAATATCACCTTGGCCCCCAAGATCATATATTCTTTCTCAACTCAATCTAACCTTTGTTGCTCTCCATAAATCTTCAAATGCTTCATTCTGTCACTCACCATCAGCAAATTATCTCACCCTAACATATCAAGAAAGAGAAATATCAATGATATTTCACTGAACCCTCTGCCATCAAACAAATGAACTTACTGCACCTAAACATCTGTTCTCCATCCTTCCTCTCCTTCTCTCTCCACGAATCCCTCCATCTTGGCTCTAGACTGCATCTGAAACCAAGCAGAGCCCTGCCACTGCCCTGTTCCAAGTACAAAGGCCCCTCCACACCCCCTAGCTCTTGTTTACAGAAGAGGTGAAGTCTCCCAAGCTTCCCTGAGTCACAGAAGAGCAAGCTCAAGAAGTTAATGATTAGGACAATAGAGGCACAGAATCCTTCAGTGTCTGATGCACATTCCTGAGTTGTCTGACAGATACTGTAACTGCCACCAGAGGGAAAACACTAACTGCATGATGACCAGACTGTCGCCATGACATAAGCTGTTCCACCTTGAGCAGTACTGAATCTATGGCTAGCACAATTCCAAGAACTGGCCTTAAGACAGTGGGATTAACACTATTGCTCATAATAATCTGTATCTTTGTGGGCATCAAAATAATTGTGGCTTTTTCTCCCCATATATGTAAGCAGGCTACTAAAATTATCAGCAAAGAGATGCTACAGACCCATGTCGACATCTTCCACTCTAAGAATATGGCACCCTGTGTCAGCATGAAGAAGTTACAGGAGATGGACCTTCGCCCATAATCCCACAGAAATGGAATGATGTCTGACAGCGGTGATTTGCAAGCAAATTTTTGCAGGCAGTTTGTTGCAGGAAGTAGCTCTCTGCAGGAGGCCACTTTTGTCCCGTCACTTTAGCAAGGCTATATTTTAACTAACCTCCGGCCCAAGCACACCTTTCAAATCTTTTTGATCACACAGTACTTTGCCTAACCTGTTGATTCTTTCCATAGATCAAAGAAGTAGAATTGAAGAATGAGTAATTAACAGATGACCGGATCTCTTCCCCAGCTCCCCCTTCAGTAATCTCGCAATCAAACTGTGTGAACAAAATAGCATCTAAAGAAAGATCACACCACTCAATGCTCTGTGGTGACCTAAATGAGAAGGAAATGCAAAAAAAGAGGGGATATACGTATGCGTACAGCTGATTCACTTTGCTGTACAGTATAAACTAACACAATATTGTAAAGGAACCACACAGCAATAAAAATTTTAAAAAAGAAAGATCATATTTTGGATCTTTCCAAAAAACGGAAAGGAGTCGACAAGCCTGCACACAATGGGAGATGGCTACAAATCTGACCCCCTATCTCAATGAGTAACTGAGATTATTTCCCCTCTTTCCTTTTAAAAACTTTCATGGCCGACCAGAATCTTCGGAATTCGTTGTGGGACAGGAGTCCGCGTTCTCCCCAGATTGCCGGCTCTCTGATTAATGTGACCTTTCCGTTCTTAATCAGCACTTGTCACACAAGTGCTGACTTTTCGAGCAGTGAGCAGCCAAACCTGAGTTCAGTGACACTTCTACTAACTAGAAAAACCGTACTAAAGATCATAATAGAACAGTGTCATTTATCACATCAACTTCAGTAAACTAATTGAATTACCACCAATTTGTTCATCAGTAAAGCCACGCACCCCCTTCTAGTCATAAAACTCTATGATATAGTAACAGAAAGAAAGGGAGATTGGGACAAAAAAGTACAAGAGACAAAAATGGAGTAGGCAGGATATTCTGAATGTCTTGGATTTTTCTTAAGTGGGTTACTGAATATTTTATACATGAGCTAGAAAGAAAGCTTTGAAACAGATATTTTATAAAAAGGCATTACATTAAGTAATTATCTGAATACTATGAAAGCTGTAAGAATGCATATACAATCGAAGCTAAAAACTCTGACTACATGTAACAAAATGCTATTCTCAAAAGAGACCTAATAGAGGAAAATGTTCTTTCATCATGAGCAAGATTCCAAGCTCTTGTAAGATTGGAAAACAATTAGTAATTCAGAGAATACTATTTTATTAATAGGTTAAGTTTCCCTAGATCTTGATATTGTTTTTTTCCAGTTTAAAATAAAATAATTACTTTTTCATTTAATCCTTGAAAGTTCCATGCTAAGAATGAATAATCATGAGTAGCTGAACAAACAGTTTTGCTTTTTTTTATGGCTGCAATTGAATTACAGGTAACTTGTCAATTATTAATTAATACCCTCTGATCAAAGATCTTGGAATTTAAGGTGGTAATTTTTGTATATGACCAAATGCAATAGAGTACAGCATACTTTCTATGCTGTTTTCTATTTCAGAAAGAAATTAAAGCAGTTAAAAGTTAATTCACATGGAAAATGCGCCCTAAGATTTTGCATATGTATATCTAAACAGTTCTTTTTTCTGCCCTTACCCACTTTCCTCAAACATCCATGAAAGTAAACCAATGATATGTAATTTTCTCTCTATCATACCTATGATGTGGCTATTTTTGCTAATCCTTTCCAGAATACTCAGAATCATTTAACTCAGTAATGTACTGTTTTTCTATAAATGTTAAAAATTCAGATTTGAGAAATTAAAGATTTATTTGTTTACTTACAGAATATACAACAGGAAATTTTAAAAAATCAAACAGAAAAACAGGACTTCTACACAGGGAAACCACTGATTAAGTCCAATGTCTGACTACTTACAAAATGAGTCATTCAGTTGTGTAAAAGGCTTCAAATACGTGGAGAACCCCAAGAAAGACATATATTAAAATAAACCAACATACTAAAAAGGTGGTGATTTTTCAAGTAAATATGACAACCCCATTAAAATGCAACACACGGTTTTCTGCAAAAAGAAAACCTAAGATGAAATATATGCTTTATATAAAATATTTACATATACAATGCACAAAACCCACTACGGTTAGTAACCTTTATGGCTTTGAAGAACTAGATATTTACATATCTTTCTTCTGCATGTGCGTGCGTGTATGTGTGTTTTGTATATATTTTTAACAGTTGACAGCTGTTTTAGAGCATACAGAGATGCCAAGCTGAATGAGGGTCTTGATTACTTCAAGATTAGCTATCTAAAGTTTCTATTCATTTTAAGTGTTGTTAGTTGGAAGAGTCATTAGTCACTTCCTTGTCTTATAGAACATCAGCATACATTTACATTGTTAATGAACATTTGGGGTAAATGAATTAATGGCACTTTTAAACATCAATTCAGTCCTAATAACTTTGTATGTCATAGAAATGTTGGCTAGGATATAAACGAAAAGCCTTTTCAGTAAAGGTAACTCCTCATTCCTACAAACAATAAAGGATAAAATTAATTTAAAATGTTTTTTAACCGGTTTAAAAAAAAAGAACCTCAATATTTAATGAACTAGTCCAGAGAAAAATAGGCACTTAAGGAAAAAACAAAACAACCAAAAAAAACACCTATGTTCTAAAATAAGCATATAAACCAGAACATTTTGGTTATATATATACTGATAACACAAAATATATTCACTTTTAAAATATCCACTTATCAAAGCGCTTGCAGAATAATTTGACTTATTTCATTATGAGTACTTCTTATAGGTATGACATGTAAGAAAAAACATCACTAGGGAGGATTATATCATTCTTACCACTGAAATTCTTTAAATGCTGAAACTGAAATTGGACATAAATAATTTTTTCATATTATCAAAACCTTAAACAGCAGTTTAAATAAAAGCAAATATAAAAATAAAATCACGAAAATAAGTTGCATGCTATTTTCATTAAAAACAACAAGGGCATTTGTATGATGTGGAAGGTATTAAAGATGCACTAAAAACATAAACACACTCCATAAACTCAATAGCGTGTATACTACAGAATTAACTACTTAAGGTATCAATTTCTTTTTTAATTCCCCAAACAAGAGTTAATGGCAGACCTTTATTTACATCAATACAGAAAAAAAATCATATTTGAAGTATGTAAAATATATGTGAATGACTGACTAATTATAATTTCTTATAACAGCTCTTATAATCCTGAAATATGTATTGAATGAAAAATTACAAATAGTTACTTGAGTCAATGAATCAACTTTAGCAAATATTTAGTGAATTAGTTGAAATAAGGAAAAGGCGTCAAGAATGCTCACAAACTCATTGTTTCCTTCTAAGATACTATATTATCACTAATACTGAGAAAATAATACAAAGCTCTGATACATATACGTTTAATACATTTTTATAGGGCAGACCCCGAATACAGTTGATGTTTTAACAACTTCACTACACAGAGCTTTAAAAGTAAAACACAAATCCCAATTATTAAAAAAACAAAAACAAAAAAAGAATAATCAGGCAAGTGCTTTATCCTGTAATAATCTCAACTTGCTGAAGGAAAAAAAAAAATCCCTGCAAAAATCAACACCAAGAGCTTAGACTTCTTTAAAAGATGTTTGAGAAAAGGCCATTTTGCATTTCAACATTCTTATACTAAAGCAATAAACTGTTTAAGTTTATGATTTTTTTAAAAAAGAATGACAGTGCATTAAACACTTGGCTATTGCTAATGCGTCTGTCTATAATTAAAAGTTGACGTTTTGTGGAATCCATCAGTATCAGAGCGCTCCCTATCTATCCAGGGAAATGTTCTTAAAGCTCTCCTGCTCAGCCTCTCTAGAGAATGACACACAAGGCAGGCAGAGCTAGCTGGAGACCCTCTGCCAGGTTTCCCAGTAACCTCAAAATTATCTGCATACAAAACTCACCTCCAGGCTTGTGTGAGTAACTCAACAAGGGGTCAATGCCCACTTCTTGTTCTTCTGGCTGCAGAGGATGTCTAGTTTCAGATAAGGAATGATACATTGTGAGAACTGGACAATGTCACCAAGAGTGACCACCTGGGAGATGAAAAATATGGAGAAAAATGATAAATTTTTTTCTGCTATGACTGGGAATAAATGCAAAATGGAAAATGATTAAATGAGCATTACAAACATTAACAAATTTTCCACAGGCTCCAGGGACTGTTACTACACATTGGTAGGCATATATATAAAAGAAGTGAAAAAGTGGCACAAGATTTTCATTTCAACAATTTCTTCCCAAATCTGGACTTCACTGGTAACCTCTACCTCAACATTCAGTTACATTTATTTTCAGTAAACTTCTACACAAAAAGCTGAATTGTAAGTTAAATCACTGTCACATTTATAATATCCTTCATTTTACTGCCAAAATAATACACATTTACTATAGGAACTTTCAAAATATAGAAAATATAGCTAACTGAAATCATTTGTAATTATATTAGCTAAAAACACCACTGTTAACATTTCAGTTTATTATATGTATTCTTTCTGGGCATTTAAAATACATATAGTTTAATGTGATCCACCATGCTAAGTATACTGATTATATAAATTATCATGAGTATTTTCCTTCCCATAAAAAAGTCTATATTATCACTTCTAATGGATCCCTGGTATTCTTTATATAGCTATAACAATTGATGTAACCAATTCCTTATTAGCAAACAATTAGGATACTTTTAGTTCCCCAACACTATGAATAGCCTCACAATGGATATCTTCCAGTAATATCTCTGTGCTGTATCCATGATTATTTCCTTAGGATAAAATCCTATAAGCATAATTGCTGGACCAAAATATTTATTTTTAAAAAATAAGATTTTAAGATAAGTTTTGCCAAATTATGCTCTAAAAAGATTTGTATATAATAGAACAATTCATTTCCCCTGGACCCTCATCAACAGTGGGAAGCAGTAATTCCTTGGGCTTTTTTTTTTTTTTTTTGGACCTATATGATAGTCAAATTGTATATTGCATTTGCTTGATACCTAGTGAGATCACTGAAGACTTCATATGTTTTCTCTGACATTTGTTATTGTCTTTTGTGGATGTAGTTTATTATTATGATTGCCTTCATGATTTGTAAGCATGCTTTAAATATTCAGGATATTAAACCTTTGTCATATGCTACATATGTTTTTCTCAGAGTGTGTCTGTCTTCAAATTACATATAGTTTTTGTGGAGGTAGTAACTTCTTCATTTTTATGTAGCCAAATATATCTGTATCTTCTTTATGGATTCTGCCTCTGGTATTACACTTCCAAAGGCAAGATTATATAAATAACCACCTGTGTCTTCTCATTTTTTGAAGGTTTTCCTCCTCAATTCTCATTTCTATAAATAATTCTAATTTTTTTAGAAATTAAATTGTTTTTGAACTTCCAAGCTACACTAACTACTTATAATATATTTATGTCTATAAAGTACAAATGAGAATTTGTACTTCCCAAATCAGAATCTTCCAAATAATAGACTGAGTTCGCTACTTTTCATCCAAAATAACGTAAGTAACATAATCTTTTAAATTTTAAGAGCAGGGGGGACAGGAAGAGGAAATGTGTAATGCTAAATTGGAAAAGCAAGTCCAACCAAAATGGGTATGTAATTTTAAAGGATATAGTCTCCACTTATGGAGGAAAATACCAGAGAAGCCCATGAACACACAAATCCTTGACCAGTCTTTTCCTATCACAAAATGCTCCTTTATCCTGTTTACTTAATTTCTAAAACTCTCATGTCATAAAAGCACTCTTGAACACTTTCTCATTTTTATCAGAACCCTCCAACTCTCACCCACCCTCACTCTTGGATCAGATGTTAACATCCTTTCCCCCTCAGCTTATGGTTAAAACAAAAGAAGCAGAGGGTTAGGCTAAATCAACACTTGGGAAAGCAGAACTTTTGCTGCCAACATAGTAAGAATTTCTAAAGCCATAAATCCTAAATCCATAAAGCTAAACCATTGTCAGTTCTTGTTTCTTATGTGTACAAATCAATTAACATATATGGAGCACTAACTATACAGAAGGAACTCTGGGGGATATAATCTAGTAGAGCAGCAGTCCCCAACCTTCTTGGCACCAGGGACTGGTTTTGTGGAAGACAATTTTTCCACAGAACGGGGGGGTGGGTGTGGGGGTTGGGTTAGGGGGGATGGTGTTGGGATGATTCAAGCACATTACATTTATTGTGTGCTTTATTTCTGTTATTATTACATTGTAATATATAATGAAATAATTATACAACCCACCATAATGCAGAATCAGTGGGAGCCCTGAGCTTGTCTTCACTTACCACTCACTGATAGGGTTTTGATACGAGTCTACAAGCAATTGATTTATTATGGTCTCTATGCAGTCAAATCTCTCTGCTAATGATAATCTGTATTTGCAGCCGCTCCCCAGCGCTAGCATCACTGTCTCAGCTCTACCTCTGATCACCAGGCATTAGATTCTCATAAGGAGCGTACAGCTTAGATCCCTCGCACATGCAGTTCACAGTAGGGTTTGCACTCCTATGAGAATCTAACGCCGCCGCTGATCTGACAGGAGGTGGAGCTCAGGTGGTAATGTGAGTCATGGGGAGCGGCTGTAAATACAGATGAAGCTTCGCTCGCTTGTCCGCTGCTCACCTCCTGCCGTGCAGCCCAGTTGCTAACAGGCCACGGACTGCTGCTGGTCCATGGCCTGGGGGTTGGGGGCCCCTGTGGTAGAGGAGAGCAAAATGTAGATAAGCAATTATATTATAAAATAGAATCTGATACATTCTGCTGATCAAATGAATGAGCAGGTTAAAAAATAAAGTCCTCTACTATGGAGAAGGAAGGCTCACCAAATGCCAGCACCTAATGGGGTCAGGCAAAAAGCATTATTAATTACAGTTAACATCTATTAAGTAGTGAATATATGACAAAAACTACTCTAAACACTTCACATATACTCAGCATTTCATCCTCCCAACAACTCAATGACGTATCTTCACCATCATTTTCATTTTACCAAAGAGAAAACTGAGGTACAGAGAGATGAAGCAATTTGCTTACAGTCGCACAACTAGGAAGTGTTGAACAGCCAGACTGTGAACACATCCTATCTGGCTCCAAAGCTCACCCTCTACTCAGTACTACACTTGGCTCCTGTTAAGTCAATGAGACAGACAAGAGAGGCATAAAACAAGGGGGTCTAAGAGGACTGGGTCTGTGAATTATTGGAACATCCATTTCTCTGCTTCAACATTTTCAAGAAAAACTGGAAATCCAGAATTTTATGTGAAATCTCTTTACTTGTAAGTGTTGGCAAATAATAAAAAAAGAAAGAAAGAAAGAAAAAAAGAAAGAAACTGTGTGGAACTGATTAAACACGTCAAAACTGTATTTGGCCATGGACAACTATTTTAATGTAAAATTCATATTCTCTATACACTTTGTCATACTCTTTAAAAATATAAGGGTAAACATTCGAAATGAGTATTGCAAGTTAACTGCCAGACTTCCTTAAAATTTCTTTAATATCCTATACTATGTTTTCATATCATTTCTCATTTTTATAGTATATACTTCTGTTAGACTTCATATACCTAAAATATATAAATAAGGGGATGTTATATATTTTAAACTCTATGAGAAATAAACAACAAGGAAACTGATATCAAAGTGTATTTCAAAAAGGAACATCAGAAGAAAAAAAAACCCTCTCTATGGCTAAAATAAAATACAACATGACAATGTTCAAATATTCACTCAAGATGCTCAAAGAGACTTAGGGTCTTTTAAACTCCTTAGAGAAAGTTAAGTTCAAGTCATTCACTGATTTTAGCTTTAATAATAATTCTTTAGAAATTGAGATGTCTGTGGTAACACCCAATAAACAGAATACAAAGTTTACCAAACATACCAGTCTACAACCATTCTAGAGAACCAGGCATCTACTATATGCTAATTAATCATGCCTATAGGTTGAAACTGAGTCACTGAAATGCTTTTATTGTCAAATAAAGCAAACCTGCTGAATAGTAATAATGAGTTATTTTCAAGAAATACGTTGAAGAAAAAGTTTGGACAATATCCTTAATTTTCTTTTAATCGTAGATTTAAATAATAATCTAGTTCAGAAGTAACTTATTAAGTAGGCGCTGTTTTGTTTTTTGTTGTTGTTTTAAACACAAAGGGCTATTTTTGCTTTTCAGAACATAAAAGAATATTTAACTTTGTTGGTTACTGCTACTGTGATTACCTTATAAAATCACAATACAACGTTGCTTTCAAATATGAAGTAATTTTTCCAATTTGTGTTCTGTGACTATAACAACAACCAAAAATAAAGCAGAATAGCAAAGGTTTTTAAACAAATGTATCTATATTTGTTTTAATCACTATTTTGAATAAATTTTGTATCTATGAATATCAGACTATAAGAAAATATTTAATAAAAGTTCAAATACTTAAGGGAATTTTTTGTGGTCTGAAGATTTTAAGATAACCCCTATAAAAGTCAAAATGGTATAAACATTTTGAAACTCACAGTGGACCACTGCATCTTATGTTTGTATACTTGCTATGCCTTAATCTTCTCTACACAGAAGCTAGACATATATGTAGAAAAAAATATATATAATGACCAAAAATATGTATCTTAGTAAATGACTACTCAAATCCATAATTGATGGAGTTCAGTTTTCTTAAATAATGCCAAGTTGTCTCTAGAATTTCTCTGACTGACAAAAATGGTAAAGACTTTTAAAAAATAAAGGCAATCTTATTTTTTCTAATTCAGAAAGCGCAGCAATATACCTTCTAAGACCTGAGAAAGGAGATATCCCTTCTTTGCTACACTTACTATAAATAACAAAGTTCCTACTGCACATGAACTCAACATTCACAAAACTCAAAACTGGTTGTGCAGCGTGGTTTTACTGCCATCCTGGTCACAGGAATTGACACATTAGGCTGAAAGTGCCATTTAAAATCCCAGACTAATCTTAGGACAGTTGTAGTGGCTTCACATATCTGGTTCTTGCAGTATTAAATCTT